TTTTTCTCATTCAAATAAAAATGTGGATAGAATTTGTGACAGAAAAAATATTTTAATATTTGGATGTGTATATCTTTGGTGTTTTGAGCCCATACATAACTCAATTTTCTGAGGCAAACAGGTGCTTCATAAAAAGACATACCAATAATTTAACTGCAGCAATGTGTCCAACACAGGGTTTTACACATGAAAACAAATAGAAACAAGAGTTTGTGGTCCAATGCACAGGTATCATAGGGTGGCAGTGTTCAGAGATCCTTGGAACAATCCTAATCACTAACTGGAATCAATGTTTTACAGAACTTATCTACTGTCACCGTATCCTCCTCCCCACTGACAAAATGCTGCATTTCTCAGTTTTGTGTTGTATCGCCTTTATATGAGCGAACAGCGATCCCTCCTCTGGAGACTTTCTGCAGACTGCGTTCCAAGGCTGGGAGCTAATTTTTGATTAATTAAATCAAACATGTTGGCAGCTAATTCCGAGTATTACACGATTTCCATGGCGCTTATGCATGAGGCTCTCTAGAAGCAGCAGATTATGGGCAAACCCAATTAGAGCGACACAATTCTCAGCATCAGGTACATTTCGCCCTGAAGGTACTCTCTATGACCAATTAGGATTTGTCACACAGTGAAAGCCTCAACGTGGACCGAAATGCGGCGAGTGTGTAACCAAAGATTTAAGCAGGTCTCACTTGTCATATTTAGTCCTAAATGAAAAGGAAACAAACAAAAGATTGCGCTGCATGAGCGGCGTGGATAAACATGTTGCTATTCATTTCTCATTGAGAGGGTGTGACAACTGTAAGACAGCACATTGTAAATGAAGACTCATCACACACACCTCTGATTACACGTATGGTCTCAACGGAACATAATGGTTGGTCATGCCTGGCTTATATCATTATCACATGTAAATACAAATATATTTCCAGGAGCTATAACAAGAGAAGACGTACGATAAAAAGAAATGTAGCTCATCCCAATGCAGAGCCCATATATGCTTTCACAGTGGGAGGTTTTCATGTTTCCTTGAGATGGAACTATGGGATTGCATGTTTCAAATGAATAAACTCTAAAAGTTACCTTTTCTAAGAGTGTTGCTCGAGAAAAGCTAGATGCTGCGTCTTGTTGACTTCAGTGATTTCAATGCAGATAACTAAAAACAACAGATTTCTGAAGGACAAAACTCCCAATGTGGTAAATGCCTGCTGAGCCAAAACAACAGACTTTTGAAATGCCAGGTTGTCCCCTTGAGGAGACATTTGAAAGAAGAAAAAAAAAAAAAAAAAAAACAAGAAAAGAAGATTCTGCTTTTGTCATTTAATGTCACACGGGCTTGGCACAGCATCACAAGGTTAACATGCCAGGGAATATCAATCAAAGGAACTTGTGACTTTCTGTCACATCCATATATATCACCCAGCAAGTGTCTGAGAGGCTTTGCCACAACTCACCCGCACTGATCCACAGGCAAATTGCCACGTACCTGCTAAGACTGGATACTTCATGTGCAAGAGGCGATGGAACAGGGTAAAGTCAAGGACAGAGTGGATATTATTGTTATATGTTGATTATACACTCTATGGCAATACACTCTAAATCTTCCCTGTGGGGAGAGAGAGAGGTGGAAATCTCTCACTTATCCAACACAGCCCTGCTACAGCTCTATAACTCTGGTGTTGAATTAGAAATATAAACATAAATGATGTTCAGTGGGGAAAATGCCTTTCAGTTAATTGTTGTAACACATGTATATACACATAAGCTGAGTAGTAATAAATCTAATATGTAATTTTATAGGATTTTGTCAATAGTTCATATTTTCACATCTTAATCTCACCTGTGACTGCAGACACCTAATATAGTTAAAAGCTTTGATACAGTGTCTGTTCATAATTTAGAATTGCACGATAAAGTAATTTTGTATTTGTGTCCAAAAATATGATTTAGGCTAGACTGATAATACTGTAGTGAAGATCTGCACCAAACTGCACCATGGACTGATCAGAGTGGACCGTGCACTCTATGTTTACAAGTACAAGACATCGTAGCTCAGCCCAAATGACTTTTCATAAGCTGTTTCAACAAATAAGGAAAACCTGATTTCTAATTTATTCAGTAAAACACATTTTCATTTGCTTTTGCAGTAGGGGGCTCCAAACTGAGATCAGGAACGCTAAATCTGTTTTTTTGTTTTAATTGCTTTATAAACATATATTCATATATCTGTGTATCTTAACCATCTTGTATGTCACTTTCTG